ACACTTGGAACACGTCCCTGGACGAATATGGGCAGGTTTTAGTGAGTGGGTTTGGTTTTTCCTATAGAAAAAGAGCAGTATTTTGGGTTTTTCTCACGATTGGTTTGGGCTATGGAAAATCCAAAGTTACCATGAGATAGAGCTCGTTGAGTTCTACTTGGAACACTGAATGGAACGCTTGGAACACTTTCCTGAACGAATATGGGAAGGATTTACTCGAATATGGTGCTAACTTCACCCACGTGAAAAAAACTAAATAGATTATTTCAAAAATAAAAGCAGTTAGTCACTATTTATCATATTTATTCTTATCCTCATTATTTTATGTATATTGAAAATGAAAAGAAAAAAAAATAATTGTTGTGGCACCAGAAATAAAACTTGTTGACTTGCCAAATTAAAAAACAAAAAAAATTCTGTTAGCAGGTATAATGTATCATACAACATCAAACACGTTATCGCTTTCTGATTGCGCATATTGCCTTAGTTTGCCGGTAAGATATTATATTAAGGATAAAATAAATATTTGAGAGCACAAAAATAAAGGATTTTTTTTCGATTCAACAATTTAGTTTGTATAAAACATTTTTTCTGAACTTTGCAGTATGAAAAATAGATGAAGAATCTGAGATGCACAAGAAAAAAAACTTGTTTTGAGAAAAATGCCAAACAAAGTTTGCCATTGAAAATGAATATTTCTGTTTAGTAAAAGGGTAGAGGAAACACATCAATTGTAGTCTATCATGTGTTATTGACTATGGTGGGTTAAACGAAGACTTGTGGGTACTTATACAGCGCCTACGATTGAAGTCTAGAAAAGAAAAAAATATGAGATGTGAATGTGTGAGTATGACTAGTTTTGTCACCAATTCACACTCATATCAACAATACCATCTGCTTAAATAGATAAAAGATGAGAATAAGAAAGGAATGATTATAAACGTGAAAGAATGAAGTCGAAGAAGGAGAAGAGAGCACATACTTATTTTACAAGACGTCTCTTCTGAAATAATATCATCAATATAATAACATCATTCAATGAAAACTGATAGAAAAACAAATAGATAGGACGAACTCACTTGTTTAAAAGTTTGCACCGTTTGCTATTTTCACATGTTTTTGATAGATTTTCTAATATAGAAAACATTTGAAAAATTTTAAAAGACAATAATAAATAATATATTCAAAAAAAATTTTTTTCTGATTCTTCAATATCAAAGAGTAAATCCTGCGTAAAGCCGTTAAAAAGCATAAGAATTCCGATAAATAATATTCTTTTCGGAATTAGACAACGAGAACTATCCAACCTCATCAATATCTAAAAATTGTTTTTTTTTAACGAAAATCGAGCTTTTCGTGACACTGATCTTTACTAGAAAAATCTGCTCATACAGGATTCTTATTTTTAACAATCAGAATTAATCTTTTTAGCAAACCATCTATTACATCAATTCAGTCGAATTTTAATTATTTATTATCTAATTTCCTTGTAATTATTTCAACAATGGATTTTCAATAGAAAAAGAAAAAAATACAAAACAATGTTATGTCAAGAGACATTGTCTGCTAACGATCTTATTACGAACAGTAATAAATGTTTTCTTTTCTTCAATATATCACATATTATCCAAACAGCATAGATAAAAAAAAAATTTGTTCAATAAGAGAAAAATGAATGAACTATATATAGACAGTTATTATCCAACCAATATTGTTTACCACGTTTCGTTTTATCAAAATTTTCTTGTAAATCGTTTGCTTTTAAAATTATGTCGATAAAGTGAACGAAAAAATTCTTTTACTTTCTACTACTGGCAGGTATTCAACTGAGAACAAATCTTTTTTTTTCGATATGATTAGATACCTTATTATGACATACACTAATGACACATTTGACGACTATAAAACGAATATTATCTCTATCAGTAGCTTCAGCAAACAAACAAGGAGAACTTTTATTCTGATTGTCTCTTCCGCACGGAACAGAATATTCATTGATGATTACTGACAAAAGTGCGTGTTCACATGTCAATCTTATTCGCTTTAACAAATATATCTTGCCTTTTCAAAAAAAAATGTTTATCAATGCACTCATTTGAAAACTGAAAATGATCAAATGAAGTATTCTTCTTCTATCAATTCGAATTTCTCTCCTAGCAGTATCATCAAATTGTGCCATTTTCAAATAAATAGACACTTAATTACAACAACATTTTAATAAAACAAATAAAACATCATATTCATATACCAATCTCTAGTTTACTCTTTTACTTAACCAATATTGCACAAAGGAATTTATCACGACACAACATCAAGAAAAAAAAATTATTCAAACAGAAACTGCCCTCTCAACATCGAAACCTTTCGATTTTGTTATTGCCTTTGATATCGTGCAAAACCATTTCATTTTCTTACTATTCTATAGTAACCATATTATCATTGCAAAACTAAATTTTTCTCCAAGTCTTTTACGACGATATGTTGCTTCTTTTATAAAAAAAAAGGTTAACATTATGTTTACTTATTGATATTGTCATTATATATTGCTAGGAAAAAATTGATTTGTCGTTGATCTTGAAAATCTTTTTATGAATTGTGATCGAAATGAGATCGAAACAAAGCAAATGTTTATTCGATTTCACGATTGAATGAATTTTTTTAATATAATTTTTTATTAAAAATTTTCTTGACAAATTGGATCAAAAAAAGAAATAAAATTGATTATTTATAAAAAATAGTATGAATGATAGTATGATTTGTTCTTAAAATTTCAATTGAATCTGATTGATTATAGGATCGTTCAACAAATGGATAAATATGTTTAAGATGATAACATTTAATTGAAATTTGTTTTTGTCCTATTTCATATCGATGATTCCAAAAATGTCCTATGCAATTATCATATGGATTAAAATTAAAAATTTTTTCAGGTTTTCGTGGTGCAGGTAACCATAATT